GGCGGGGCCGAGGGGAGAGGCGCGGTCTGGACTGGCCGGGCTGAGGAGAGAAGGCGGGGCTTGGAGGGGACCTGGCAGGAACGGGCGTGGCCTGGGCAAGTGGGGTTCATGAGAGGGTGTGGCTTGGGAGAGGGGGCGTGGCGTGAGGAGCGGCCTTGGGGCGGGGCCGAGGAGGAGGCCGGAAGAGGCGTGGTCTGGGAGGTGGGGTCCAGGAGAGCAGGGTGGTCCGGGGGCGGGGCCTGCTACTCACCTGTCCAGGGAGGCAGCTGTCTGTCCTTCCTGCCCACAGCCCCGTGCGGCTGTCCTTGGGAGTGAGACGAAGCCTGGCCACAGACCTGGCTCCTTTAGCTTCAGTTTTCTTCCCAGTCAAGCGTGAGTGGCTTTACTGCTTCTTTCCTCAGAGGTCGCTGTGGTGTTCAAGCATCTCCTGCCCAGTGCTTAGCAAAGGCCTCTGCCATTCCTCCATCTTTCAGTCACTGTAGGTGTGGATGTATAGACCTGGGGGGTGGTAGCTATGGCACACGCATGCACGCACGCACGTGTGCACACACACGCACGCACACACGCACACACCCACCCTCTCCCAGCCTGGCCTAGGCTCACCCATACAGACTTGCACAAAAGCCAGGCCCTCCCCTCCCTAATGGAGGGAGAGGAGTTCAAGCAAAGCTCTGGGCAGTGTATCAAAAGGGGAAGAAGCAACCAGGGAGGGCATATACTCAAGACGAAGCCTGAGCGGAGTGTCAAGTGAGCATGTTCTGGAATTCTGGTGGGTTATGGTGCAGATTCCGTGGCTTCCAGCCCCATTGAGGGCTATGCGGTGGCACGGCAAGGGCATGTGATCTTGCAGCAATGGCTCTGAAGCTTACCGTGCATGGTGCCTGCTCGTGTGGGCAGACAAGTGCCAACTGTAACAGAGGCAGCCTTGACCGGAGGATGGAGGCTTGAGGCCAGCTCAAGCAGGAAAGTCCATGAGACTCTTCTCTCCCATGAACCACCCAAAAGTCAGAAGTAGAGCTGTGGTTCAAGTAATAAAGTACTAGCCTTGAGGGAGAAGCTCAGGGACAGCGTCCAGGCCCCAAGTTCAAGCCCCAGGACCAGCAGGAGCAGGATCCCTCCTTCTCCCCACTTGGGATGATGGAGGACAGGGGGGCAGAGCAGGCATGCCTCGGTAGTGAGCTCAGGCTGCCTCTGTGAGCAGGGGGTGACTCTCTGTCTCTCTCTTCTGTCTCTCTCTCTCGGCCTCAGCCCAGCGGTCTGCCCACGAGCTGCCCATGGTGGAGAGACAGGACATGGATGGCTGCCTGGTCTACGGTGGCCAGCAGATGATCCTCACGGGGCAGAACTTCACGGCCGAGTCCAAAGTGGTGTTCACGGAGAAGACCACAGGTGAGTGGCATTTCGAGATCTTTTCCAGTCTGTCTTCTGGAGTTGCCTGCGGGTGCATGGCAGAGCCGGGGTGTGGTCCTGTACCCCCTCTTGCTTCCTTCCTCAGCAGCGACTCGTGGCCTGTCAGCTCAGCGCCGGCAGCCGTGCTGCAGTGTGTGTTCATGGAGGACGCTGCTTGGTGGGGGGATGCTGAAGCTGTCCTCCTCCTTAACTTTGTGTCTTGTAGTTATTCTTTTTCTACACAGGAAAACTTCTAAACCTTTTTCCTATGATCAACAAGAGAAGTCAGCCGGGTGTCGGTGGCTCACGTCTGTAATCATAGCTGCTCAGGATGTGCAGCTCTGAGGATCACAGTTCAAAGCCAGCCAGAGCAGGAAAGTCTGTGTGATTCTTATCTCCAGTGAACCACCAGAAAAACCACAAGTGGTGCTGTGCCTCAAATGGTAGAGCGCTGGCTTTGAGCAGAAGAGCTCAGGGGCAGCACCCAGGTTCTGAGTTCAAGAGAGAGGAGTCAAATAGCCTAATGGTTAAGCATGCTCTCGTTCTGAACAGCCTGGGTTCAAATCCTGGCTGTGCCGTTTTAGTTTAACTTTTCTTTCTGTGTCTGTGTCCTCACTGTGGAAATCTTACCCTGCCGTGTTGTCTTGCGGGTTCTATGAGTTACATGTTGAGTAATTGTAAGAGCATAGAGAACACTGTGCACCCATACACTGCTTCTGATGCACTTTTGGTGGTTTGATTGTTTTCTGTGGTGCTGGGGACGGAACCCCAGCCCTCCTGAATGCTAGGCAAGCACTCCATGGCGTGTGCCACAACCCTAGCCCTTTTGTTTATGATTTTGGTTGGTTGGTTGGTTGGTTGTTGTTTATGTTTTGTGGGTTGTTTTTTTTCCAATGTCAGGGTTTGAATTCAGGACCTCATACTTGAGCCATACCTCCACTCCCAGCTTTTTGCTGGTTAATTAGAAATAAGAGTTTTGCAAACTTGCCTGCTTCGAACCTGGATCCTCAGACTTCAGCCTTTTGAGTAGCTGGGATTACAGGCGTGAGCCACTGGTACTCAGCTGTATATTTTGTCTTTGAGATGGCATTTGCTAACGTTCACTGGCCTGGCCCTGAGCCTGTGATCTTCCTGTCTCTACCTCCTGAGTAGCTGGGATTGCAAGTGTAAGCCATAAACCTGGCACCACTTGTGTTTTTATTATAAGCAGTTCTGCAATCAATCTTCTTAGACTTTTGGGATTCACTAGTCTTGTGAAGCGCACATCTGTATTTGTACCTTTTTGTTTATGCAGGGTTGATTTCTAGCAGTAGAATTCTAGTCACTTGGAGGCTTTAGGAATGTTGGACTAAACTCTTCTCCAGAATCTGCAGCTGAAACTTCCACCATGGCTCATCCCATTCCAGAAATGCCATGTTTGTTTGTTTGTTTTTCCCCGTAAAACAATCCTGGCGAAATGCAGTATTAATCAATACTTCATATTTCTCTGCCATGGAAAGAGGTTCCCAGTTCCGGCTGCGGGCCAGGCAGCAAGGGCAGGCGCTGCTGCAGCATTCTGGCGCTTCGAGGAGGGAGCTGAGTGTCAAGGTTTGCCCTTGTCATTCACGTCACCCACTGAGCTTTGCGGAGCAGGGGCAGTGGTGTGGGTGCGGAGGGGCTGGGCAGGATGGGGCCACCCTCCTACACTGAGGTGCGCCTGGAGCCGCAGCTCAGGTGGTAGTCGCTGTACCACCTGGGGTAGGTCACTGCACCTCTCTGAGCCCACACTCCCTCCGGTTCAATGCAGAGATGGACCGCACAGGCGCAGGCTGGCTTTTCACACGGACAGGGTTTGGCACGTGGAAAATGCCCGCACGTGTTTGCTTTCTGTGGTAGTGTTGTGCTTGTGACTGTGGGACAGCGTCAGCCCCATGGCGCCAGGCAAGGTTACACATAATAACCAGCCCAGGCACAGTGACTGCGTGTTCAGGACCGTGCGTGGGGGCCCCCTGTGGGGAGGGGCACATCCAGCCCGGGGTGTGGAGCCCCTCTACGGCTCCACCCCTCCCCCCTTTGGGGGAGGACATTCTTGTTTTTTCCCTCCTAGTTTCTCTCTCTTAGTAAATAAACCTTTGCTAAGAACTTTTAAAAAAATGAAATAAAAGGCCATCACACAAAAAAATAAACCACGGGCCCAGCCCTCTCTCTGAACACCTTATACACGGGAAAGAATCTGACGCCCCGCACAGAGAGGCTAAGGAGCCCAGTGAAGGTCACACAGCAGATGGTCAGTTTGCCTGTGTGGCTCCACTCTCGCAGCGCAGCGTGGCCGCCGCGGGAGTCTGCGCTGGGCCTTAGCCGTTCTGCCCCCTCCAAGAAGCTCAGAATCAGGCACAGGTGCCTGCTGCCCTTCGGCTCTGTGAGTTCCAGAGAGGTCTCAGGTGGGCACCGAGGGGGTCTCCCCAGGATGCTCCCCTGTGACTTGGGGCTGCCCGGAGCTCCGCCCAGGCCCCCCTTGGGTTTATAGGGTGCTCAGCCTGCTCTTTTGACCCCGCGGGCTCCCTCCCGCCCTCCACAGGGAACCCCCATAGCTCAACTTCATTTTTTTCCAAAACGCAGCCTGTACCCATCGGGTCTCCATGGACACTTGGCCTGGGGCCGGGGCTGCAGGCGGGGCAGCACAGCCCGTCCTCCGCCGGGGAATCCCAGCTGCTCTTCACATTAGGAGGGCGACGCCTCCCAGCAGCTAATCTTAGCCCGGGGTTTGCTCATCACCACCAGCTCTGCTGCTCTTTTTATAGCATCTACTAAAACGGGCTTGGCACCTTCGGCCCAGCACCATGACAGGCCGGGGAAGGTGGAAAAAACGGGAGGAGAGCCACAGCTGCACTTAGAAAGGCTCCGTGTTTTGGAAAGTGGTGTCTTATTTATAGCAGCGGTAATAATCATGATTCTGTTATTTTTATTCCTATTTTAAGTTGTTTTTTTTTTTCACCACTCACAAGGACCTGGGCGATCTGGCCCTTGCCCAGCCTGCTGACCGCGGCCTCTACCTTCTCCCTGCTGACCCCAGCCTCTACCTTCTCCCTGCTGACCCCGGCCTCTACCTTCTCCCTGCTGACCGCGGCCTCTACCTTCTCCCTGCTGACCCCGGCCTCTACCTTCTCCCTGCTGACCGTGGCCTCTACCTTCTCCCTCCTGACCCCGGCCTCTACCTCCTCCCTGCTGACCCCGGCCTCTACCTTCTCCCTGCTGACCGCGGCCTCTACCTTCTCCCTGCTGACCCCGGCCTCTACCTTCTCCCTCCTGACCCCGGCCTCTACCTTCTCCCTGCTGACCGCGGCCTCTACCTTCTCCCTCCTGTACCTTCTCCCTGCTGACCCCGGCCTCTACCTTCTCCCTGCTGACCCCGGCCTCTACCTTCTCCCTGCTGACCCCGGCCTCTACCTTCTCCCTGCTGACTGCAGCCTCTGCCTTCTCCCTGCTGCCTGCTTCCCTGCCTGTAGTAAACACTCTCCTTCTGTCCTTAAACATCCCTGGCTCCTTTCTGCCTCAGGATCTTTGCACTCGCTCTGGACTCTTGGGACATTTTTCCACCCCATGGCCACTGTCTTTGGTTCCTTCAAGTCTCTGCTCAGAGACTCCTGGACCATTGCTTTCATTGCTCAACCTCCCCCCCAGCCAGCCATCTCTTGTCCCTGAGCTCTGCTTGTTGTTTTTGTTTTTTTGGTGGGGGCCTGTTTAACTGTGGGTGTGGGGTGTGGGGCAGAGGGAGCGTGCATGTGTGCATGGTGCATGTGCGCGTGTGAGCCTATACCAGGCTTTGCACTCAAGGCCTCATGTTTGCTCACTCTCTTGCTCGCAGCTGACCCTCTACCACTTGAGCCATGCCGCCAGCCCAGCATTTTGTGGGTTAATTGGAGATGGAGTCTCACAGACTATTCTGCTCAGGATGGCTTTGAACCATGATCCTCCAGGTCTCAGCCACTGCATAGCTAGGATGCCAGCCACCGATGCCTTTCTGTGGATGGTACTCAGCCCTCTGCGGGCCATCTTGCCTGAGGCCTTTCTGTGGATGGTACTCAGCCCTCTGCGGGCCATCTTGCCTGAGTTGTCTGCCATCTTGCAGAACACGTTTAGATCCTTTTTTGTTTGTTTGTTTTGGTCAGTCATGGGGCTTGAGCTCTGGGCCTGGGCGCTGTCCCTCAGCTCTTCAGCTCAAGGCTAGCACTCTACCACTTGAGCCACAGCACCACTCCTGGCCTTTTCTGCTTAGGTGGTGCTGAGGAATCGAACCCAGGGTGTCATGCATGCAAGGCAAGCACTCTACCACGGAGCCACCTTCCCAGCCCCCAGGCTTAGATCCTTGAGGGTAGGGACTCAGAGTTTGCTAAGGGGCAGCCCCAAGCCTCTGACTCTAGTCTGGACTTCTAGAATAGTCCTTGTACACAGTGGGTGTTCGTGCATCCTGTGGATGAATGAAGGCAGCGGCTCTTCATTTCCTGCCGGCCTTAAGAGGCGGCACACCCGCACCTGCTTTACAGAGCGGCTGCTGAGGGTCCCCAGCGGTCTGTACTCCTGCCCACAACAGCCTCACGGGCCCGGGCTTCCCCTTTGGCTCCTTCTCGGGGAAAGGCATCTGTGTGTGGTGCCATGTGAGTGGGGCCCGCGTAACCCGGCCCAAGGAGTTCAGGCCGGGCAGCTGGGCTGTGCCCGCCCTCCTGGCCCCTGCCCCAGGCCGAGTCCGGGGGTCCCAGCAAAACATTGCAAAACAGGAAAGAATCTAAGGATGCGAGAACACAAGTGCCCAAGCTCAGGGGGGGGGGGATAGAGAGAGAGAGAGAGAGAGAGAGAGAGAGAGAGGGTTGCCATGGCGACTCGGGACTCGCTCTCCGGCCCAGCTGGGCGGGATCCAGTGTTCCTGCGCAGGACAGGACGGAGCCTTCCCCGCCCCCCCCCAGTCCCCGCGGGGGGCGCCCACCCGCATTACTCAGCCTTCACACGCCAAGGGCTTGGGGAGG